ATATAATGTAACAAAAAATATCGTTTATTGAAAAAAGTAATTATATTCACAACTTTATCAATATTTGTACATTGTTACATTTATGTTCCTAATTTTTTCCTCTTTGATGATGGCTTTTGTTAAAATATATTAATGTGTTTTGAAATGAGGAAAAAATACTTTGTTGCATTTATATATTATTATTTTTAAAAAGACGATACACAAATAAGTTATTTTACTCCCTTCCAAAGGATTTGTTGGATGAAAATTATTTGCTAATTGATTGAAGATTGATGATAAGAACGTATTGAAAAAGTTAAGAACATAAGAGCTATGCTGGGCAAATATTAGGGACCTTAAATATAATTAAAACATGGTGTAAATAATAAAAATTATTTTATGAATTTAATTACCAAAAAGAAAAATAGAAAAATTACAAATATGGCATTAAAGTTTCCAAACCGGCACGTAAGCCTATCCTGAAATTGGCAATTCAGTTTCCGTCATCTTTCTACACTATAAATAGCCGTTTAAGCCGGACCAACTAAAAATCTCTCCCGTCCCGCGCTCACTCTCATTCTCTGCCTGCAGAATCTGAATACGATAGAATGGGTCGGGTCACCGCCATTTTTGTGTGCCTTCTCTTGATCTCATCCGTTCGTTCCTTCTATCTCCCCGGCGTTGCCCCTCGCGATTTCCAAAGAGTAAGAAGTCTCCCTCATTCTGTCACACATGCACGCACTCTGAAGTATACGGTGACACTCCTTGATTTGGAGTAAACTGGAATATCATTTGATGTTTGGATCTACATACGTTGCAATCGGTTTTTTGATATTGATTATTTTTCTATTAATTTTAGTTAATTTGAACTCATTGTGTGTTTTTTAAGCTGTTGTTGATCGTTGGAGATATTTTATACATAAGTTGAGCATTTGGGTGAATGCTTACCATTTAGTAATTCATTTGGATGGCTTCATTTTTTTATTTTTTATTTTTTTGGTGGCAAGTTCTTATTGATCGGTGGAGTCTAGTGTGTATAAGCTGGTAATAGGATGAATTTGATTTTGGAACTGAAATTGTTTTTATTTTTTGTAAATATTTTTCAGTACTTCAATTGTGCAGCACTTTGATTGATTTGAGCTACTAATTTACTTCTTGATTTGTCGCAACTCACGAACTGCTCGTTTGGAAATAAAAGATTGAACCTAGCTTGCATTTTCATTTTGGTGATAATGATGTGGGGATTTGACTTTAACTCAAGTGCTTGTGTTGTCTTGTAATCATGGATACTTGACGAATGGTTTATCTGTGATCTTGGAATGTTCATTTTAAAATGTTGTTGGGAGTGAAACGAATAATAGTTATGGCAGTTGACAGCTGGCAGTGACAAGTTCCAATTCCTGGATTTCGTGTACTGATGTACGCAGCTGATTATTTACTTCACGTTCAAGGAGTAATGTAACCAATGTTGATCATATTGAAGAGTCATAGCTACTTGGACTACTAGTTAGTCTTAAAATTCAACTATATTCTGGCGCGCCTAACTTGTAATTTCACCAAGTGCTTGCTCTCTGCTAATATGAAAACAAAAATGTTGTTGGGAATAGTAATAACTAAGGAGAGTGAATGAAGTTTCTGTGATTTTTGTTATATTACTTAGATTCTCGTGGTCATTCTTTTTGGGATAATTGTAGACATAAGGATTTGTTAAATTCATACGCATATTTATTGATTTAAAGTGCTCAATTCTTATTATTATATTATGTTTCCGCTCAGTAAAGATCTTCCTGGATTGAGCAGCTTTTTATATCCTTTTCACATGTAACGTTTGTGTGTCCACTTTTCCTATAGGGGAATGAACTTCACGTGAAAGTGAATAAGCTGTCATCTATTAAGACACAACTTCCATATGATTTCTATTACTTGAAATACTGCAAACCGGACAAGATCATGAACACTGCTGAAAACTTGGGTGAGGTCCTACGAGGTGACCGCATAGAGAATTCGGTTTATACTGTACGCATCCATGATTAATTTATGGGTCCAAGCTAGCTCTTTCATTTCATTCATTGTTTCTTTGGTTCCCCTGTCTACATTGTTTCTAAGATGTACTTGTATTATTTTATGCTAGTTTAATATGAGGGAGGAACAACCTTGCAAAGTGGCTTGTCGTGTTAGACTTGAAGCTGAAGCTGCAAAGAACTTCAAAGAAAAAGTTGATGATGAATACAGAGTCAATATGTAAGTGTTGTGTGCAGTGCATCATAATTTTCATTGTCCTTTCCCATCTTTTGCTAATTTTTCTCATTGCCTAATTACTGTGATGTATTATACCAGGATCTCTTATCATTCTTTTCATTTACTGACACCGGCAATGTGAATGCAGGATTCTAGATAACCTTCCAGTAGCTGTTCTTAGACAAAGCCGAGATGGAAGTCCATCAACAACTTATGAACATGGTTTTTTTGTTGGGTTTAAGGGGAATTTTGCTGGGGTTAGTCGTAGTTGGAAATTTTGCCTTTCTGGAAGATCTATAACTATGACTACTTCTAACTCGTTAACATGCTTCTGCAGAGCAAGAAGGACAGACATTTTATTAATAACCACTTAAGCTTCAGAGTCATGTATCATAGAGATCCTGAAACTGATGCTGCTCGAATAGTTGGGTTTGAAGTTTCTCCAAACAGGTTCTTTTCTTTCTGTATCAGGCATCCTATCATGAGAGCTAGTGAAATAGTTGAGAAATATATTTGATGACCGGAATGTCTTAGCAATCACAAATTATAAAGAGTTCTCTTGAAGAAGATTTTTTAAACCATACATTTAAAAGCCTTGAGACAGGTTTAGCTTTATGGTTTAGGGCTTTATAGAGTTGATACTTTATTATACTAGCGTGGACTTCTCACATTACAACTTGTCAACAGTATTAATCATGAGTACAAGGAATGGGATGACAAGAACCCTCAATTGACAACATGCAACCAGAACACCAGAAATATGATTCAAAGGAGCACTGTTCCACAGGAAGTTGATACAGACAAGGAGGTTGTATTCACTTACGATGTTACTTTCAAGGTACTCTTTTCTTGATCCTAGCATCTCTTCTCCTTCAAGCAATTGTTACTTGCTTCAGTATTTATATTGTAACTTTTCTTTGGTAGGAAAGCGATATAAAGTGGGCTTCGCGCTGGGATACCTACATCCTCATGAATGATGATCAAATCCACTGGTTTTCTATCATCAATTCTCTGATGATTGTCCTCTTCCTTTCTGGTATGATTGCCATGATCATGATGAGAAGTCTGTACAGAGACATTGCAAACTATAATCAACTGGAAACTCAAGATGAAGCTCAGGAAGAAACTGGATGGAAACTTGTTCATGGAGATGTTTTTAGGGCACCTACAAATTCTGGATTGCTGTGTGTTTATGTGGGAACCGGTGTTCAGATCTTTGGAATGACACTTGTGACAATGATATTTGCTTTGCTGGGTTTTCTATCACCGTCCAACCGTGGTGGGCTTATGACTGCCATGGTTCTTTTATGGGTCTTCATGGGCTTATTTGCTGGCTACTCATCGGCTCGTCTGTACAAAATGTTCAAGGGCACCGAGTGGAAGAAGAATACCTTAAAAACTGCTTTCATATTTCCCGGTATTCTGTTTGCTGTGTTCTTTGTACTAAATGCTCTCATATGGGGAGAAAAATCGTCTGGTGCTGTACCCTTTGGAACCATGTTTGCTCTTCTATGCTTATGGTTTGGAATCTCAGTACCATTGGTGTTTGTTGGTAGTTATTTAGGTTTCAAAAAACCCGCCATTGAAGATCCCGTCAAAACAAACAAGATTCCAAGGCAGATACCCGAACAAGCTTGGTACACGAAACCAATATTCTCTATACTTATTGGAGGCATCCTTCCATTTGGGGCAGTTTTCATTGAATTATTCTTCATCTTAACGTCTATCTGGCTGAATCAATTCTATTACATCTTCGGCTTCCTCTTCATAGTCTTTGTGATTTTATTAATCACATGTGCCGAGATAGTAATAGTTCTCTGCTACTTCCAGTTGTGCAATGAAGACTATCATTGGTGGTGGAGGGCTTACCTGACTGCTGGCTCCTCTGCTCTGTATCTTTTCCTGTACTCCGCTTTTTACTTCTTCACCAAGTTGGAAATCAGTAAGCTGGTTTCAGGAATTTTATACTTCGGGTATATGTCAATTGCATCGTTTGCTTTCTTCGCGTTGACTGGATCAATTGGCTTCTACGCTTGCCTCTGGTTTGTTCGGAAGATCTACTCTTCTGTGAAGATCGACTAATGTGAGACGGGGAGGAATTTCACGATTTGGTAGTTTCAATGATCCACTTTGCAGGATAAGAGGTTTAGACTGCGCCAGAAAGGTATTTGCCCGATAGCCAAGCAAAGGCTTGGCTTGTATCTTACGTGTTTTGGTTTTGTTCGTGATAAACTGCTAATGCCATTTTCAGACTATAAAATGTAAAGATTTTCTAATACGAGAAAAGAGATCTTAGTTATATCAAAATTTTCTTATGATTCATAAGCACCAATGCAATTCGGGCTTAATATTTTTCTGGTGGCTTCTCACTGTTACTCTTCGATTTCTGCCCATTTAGTAAACATTACATTTACGTGCTTGAATCACCATATCAATAAGACCACAAGGCCAGTGTAGTGCATGAAACAACGGTACAAATTTCATTTTCTCGACCCAGCTCGATCCATATCATGCTATTTACTGAAGTAGGTCCATTGTCCGAGTCCCCGGCCTGCCCTTAGCCTGACAGCTAGAAAATCTGCACAGAAGACTAGATTTAGAGACTGGCTTGTACTGGCCCAGCCATTTTTTCACCTCTAAGACTAACCTGGTACGGTCAAGCACTAGACTTGCTTTTCAGGGCCAGGCCAGGCTTGAACTGACCTAGTCTATTTTATTACCTCGAACCATATCCGTTGTCCATGTTGGTGTTTCGAGGTAAGCAATTGTTTCAAGTCATCAAATACGGGGGGAAAAAAATTCAAAAATATAATAGTGCGGAAGAATAGAATGTGGCAAAAAAATCAGACACAACATAGATGTTTGCCCTGTGAAAGATTAATTAGCTTTCGACCTGAGAACTTATAGGGTAATCAAAAGATTAAGGGTCACAATTTCTTCCAAATCAACACAAAGAAGCCATGCAACTATAAAATTCTGCACCAATGCTTGATTTTGGGCACTAAAATGTATAAATTAGTTAAAATTGCTCGCTATCATCTTATCATCCCAAGCACGGTTTATATCTCCCTTTTCTCTGCCTGCAAATGAAGTTATTCTTATTACCTACTAGCAGTCAATAAGAAAAATTGCACGATTGAGGTCTAAGTTGAGAACAAACCAAAACGAATCCTTCTTTTCCTGTGCCAGCAACTCTTCAAATGATATATCAGAGAAGTTGGCATCTGTACTTTCCACAAGGTCGACAGAATTGGATTTTATCTCCTCCATGCAAGCACCAAGTTCCAGCATCTTCAAATAAGAACACATCAAGACTGTCATTCAAGAAAGACACAGCCCAAATAACGAGAAAAAGGATGTACTTATAATTGAAATGCACGTGAAAGGAAAACAATAAAGCAATTTGGGCTCTTTTCATCCAACCATAGAACCAGAAGAGTTAAACCTTGGATTCAAACTCACACAGGACGATTCAGTCATGAAAGATGTCATATCGATAGGAAATTCATCAAGTGTTCCCTAACACATTTGTCACATAGTATTGGATAATAATGTACAGTATAATAGACAGTATCGTAACTTTCTTTAATCCTTTTCAGTGCGATCTGATCCAGCAGGGTAAACATCCATAGCTACATCTACGAAAGCATGTCCATATAAACAACGTATATACAGAGAAATAGAGGTACCTTCTCGTATGCAGGAGAGAGCTTAAGCTGTTGTTGGAGCCAATTATATACAAATGCATCATCTTCTAATCTTTTATGTTCTAATTCTAGCTTGCATATCTACATTTAACAAAGAATTTATGGCAATTAGAATGATGTAATGAATAGCCAAGATAAGTCAAACGTATGACAAGTTTGCACACCTGTTGATGCAGGCGGTTGACTGAAGACTTGTCCGCCTTGAATAATATGGCCTTGGTTATTATGAACTTCCGCTTGATGACCTCAGATCTGTTAACGGGCAATTTTAGTATTGCAAAAAAGAATAAATTTAGTTCAAAATTAGTTTAATGGTAAGTTTCCTATCAAAGACTAAGGTTAGATTTCAATTTTTACAGACGTTCCAACCTCATTAAAAAAATAAATGAATACTGATGACAAACAAGCAAATGATTGAGGAAAAACACATACTCTGCAAAGCCTTGGGAAATACGAAAGGTATCATTAATGACTAGTACGTAATTTGCTTAAATTTAAGTCATAGAAAAAATCTGCTCTTTTTCAGAGCTACTGCCTGAGATGAGTTTATTAAAACTACAACTTCGTTTGTTAGCTTCATAAACATATCCGAAATAATCTGTACTTTATAGCCATATGATAATGGGTAAATGAACAATTTGACTTCAGATTATGCTTTGTTTTCTGTAGGGGATGCAAGTGTTTATGCTTCAAATATAAAAAACTGAAAAGTTTTGATCAAATCCAGTCCTTAAAGTGCTAGAAGGAATTTGGCAGGACGTGAGTACAAAGATTTAGGCAACCATAGAATAAATCCAACATCTGTATCACATTTTTTCAATTAACATAAGGAAAGCTTCGCAAACATACTTGTTCTGCAGCTCGTTTCTCGCCTCAACCAGACAATTAACGAATTTGCCCACCTGCATTATTCGATATAAGATTTTTATGCTTTAGATGCTTGTAAGAATTTTAGAGCACAAAGATTTCGAATTCTAAAAATTAGATCCACTCATGAAAAATGAGACAATATTTGATTATGGAGATAATATATCCCTACAAGACAATGACCCTGTTAAAAATGAAGAAATTCAAGGAAAAATGAAACTAAGAAAAAAATAAGTACATAGTATTCTGCAATTGCTAATTATTCTTGAGGTGCCTCGAACTATTATAATCATGCAGTATGATTCTCTTTCTTCTCATATCCTCTCACTTCATCATTTTTAATTCTATTTTGATTAGAAACTGAATAAGTTGGTGAATCAAATGTTCAAAGGACTCATTAGGGCCAACATGGAGGTTTACTTAGTAGATTTGTTAGTCAAAACTCGGAAGGATGGCTGTCGCATAGAAGATCTGAGGCAAGCTTTTGAAATAATGAAAAGGTACAGGCCGAAGTTAAACCAGCTAAGTGCACCTTCAAAGTTCATTCTAGAAAATCATGGTCTCTTAGCCAGGCATCAAGGCAAACCCAACAAGATTAAGGTGTTGCAAGACATTGTCGCCCTCAACATCAGAGATGTACAGTCCGCAACACGAAGCATTTTGAGTGGAATGAAGAATGCCAGGATGCCTTCATTGGACTGATGCAGCACTTTGCCTCAGCAAGCTTGTTAACAAAACAAGAAAGGTCCCCTTTTCTCAATATTCCTTTTCTGACTTGTGCCATCCAAAATATCACGGCATGCCACTTAACCAAAGGAATATTCGCTGAGTTCTTACCAGTCACCATAAAAACCTCAACAAATAGGTGTTCAATGTACTTATAAACCTATGAAACAAGCTTTCCATGAGAAATGTGTTACGTGAGACTCAGAACTAGTTGTTACAAACTCTTGCGGGTCATGCAGCATTGAGGGTATTTATGTACTTAGCCAAAAGTTAGTTGAAGTTTGTTAGTGTTAGTTGAAGGTGAGCTGTAATCTATTCAGCTGGCAATTATTGCACATATAGAATTGTATATAAACGATTGTATGTGCTTGAAAAATCAGTGAGAAAAGTTTCATTCTTCATACGTGTTTTCTCTCTCTACCTGTAAACGAGTTCTCTCCAATCAGGCATAAAATTGACATGGTATCTGAGCAGATTTGAGCTTCCGTCCATGGCTACAAACTCAGAAACTGAAAATGAAGGTTCTACTAGCAATAATTCATTGGACGATCATCGCCATGAAGATCCAATTGTCGTAGCTAGTCGAATGATAGCAGATCCTTCAAGCCCTTACTATATGCATTATGGAGATAACACAGGTATGCAAATTGTTTCTGTTGTACTTTTGGAAGAGAATTACTTGACGTGGAGTCGAGCTGTGGAAATGGCATTGAGAGTGAAGAACAAAGAAGGTTTTATTGATGGTTCCATATCAAAACCTCCAGCAAATTCACCTCTATATGTTGCTTGGCGTAGATATAATCACATTGTGTCCTCATGGATTATAAATTCAATTCCTAAGGTGTTACATCCTAGTGTTATGTACAAGAATTCAGCGCGTGAAATCTGGCTTGAACTGAAGGATAGGTATAGTCAAGGAAATGGACCTCGAATATATTAGTTGAAGAAGATGATTGTCTCAGTTTCACAGGGGAATGGATCTGTAAGTACATACTTTAACAGGCTAAAAGGCTTATGGGAAGAATTATCAAACTATAGACTGCAAATTCACAATTCCTACTTTGAAGAGGAGCAGATTTTGCAATTCTTGATGGGATTAGATGACTGTTACTCCAATGTACGCAGCCAGATTCTGTTGATGGAGCCATTGCCTCCATTGAACAAAGTGTTTGCATTAGTTCAACAAGATGAGAGACAACGAGATGTGGCAGCAAGGAATCAAAATAATGTTGAAGCTATTGCACTTGTAAGTAGAATGATAGCTGGTCAAATGAATTCAGGAGGTAGTCAAAAGTATGTGTATGCTAATCAAGGCTTTAAGAAGGACAAACCTAAATGCAGTTACTGTGGTCTGCTCGGACATTTGGACGTTTGCAAGGGAAGTGTTACAAGCTCCATGGGTATCCCCTAGGCCACAGACTGGCAAAGGACAGAGGTGAACAGTCTATCTCCAACGCCAATCAAGTTACTGGAATCACTACATCTCAGAACCTGTCAAATGCACTTTCAAGCCTAACCATTACACCAGAGTAGTGCCAGCAGGTTATTAATTTATTAAAGCCACAGCTTCAAACTCAGTTATCAATCTGACCTTCCATTCTGGTATCGCTGCAAATCAGAGTCACACTAATTTGGCTGTTGATCCAGCTGAAAATGGTATGCAAGAATCTTCACCACAAATACCAGCATTGCCAGACCTGTCATCCTTCTTAGGTAATAAATTTTGTTTAGCCGTATCAGAAGTTAAGGAAAAATATATCATTGAAACTGGTGCCACAGACCATATGGTATGTTCCTTAAATCAGCTATCCACCATTACTGCCATGATAAATACCAGTGTTAAACTTCCAAATGGCGATGAAGCTCTTGTGACGCACATAAGAACAGTAAAGCCATCTGAAAAACTTTCACTAACCAATGTGTTATGTATCCCCTTATTCCAGTGTAATCTAATATTTGTCAGCAAACTCATTTCCTCTCATCATTGCTGCTTATTATTTCTGTTCAATCATTGCTTCATTCAGAACCTCTCTACATGGACAACGATTGGAGTGGGAAAGCTTGAGGTTGGCTTATATCATTTTCAGTCTAGCATTCCTTCAAACGATGGTCCATCCCACAAGAATTGCTCCAAAAAATCTGCATCTCACCAGTTCAACTCACTTTCTTCTGCTCTTCTTAATTATGGCTGTAATAAAGTCACAAATAATGGCCAGGCCTCTACTTCCACTGTAATACCTTTTGAGTTGTGGCATTATAGATTAGGGCATGCTCCTCATGATAAGATTTCTATTTTACACAAATTTGTACCTGAAGTTGTATCAAATTCTGATTTTCATTGTAATGGTTGCCCCATGGCAAAACAACACGGATTAGCTTTTCCTAATAGTACTCATATTTCCCATTCAATCTTTGAGCTTATTCATTGCTATATCTGGGGCCCTTATTAAGTTCCATCTCTGGATGGTTCACAATATTTCCTAACAATTGTGGATGATTACAGTAGGTCTACTTGGACCTTCCCGATGAGAAATAAATCACAAACTAGAAGCCTCATTCAAACCTCTTTCCACATGGTTGATACTCAGTTAAGTACCACGATCAAAATTGTGAGATCTGATAATGATGCAGAATTTGCAATGAATGATTTCTTTAATTCCAAAGGGGTTTCACACCAAGTTAGCTGTGCTGAAAGACCACAGCAAAACGGCATTGTGGAGCGTAAACGTCAACACTTGCTAAATGTTGCTAGAGCCTTAAAGTTCCAAGCAAAATTACTAGATGAACTCTGGGGAGACTGTGTTCTTATAGCAACCTATATCATTAACCATATCCCCAGCTCTTTCCTATCCAACAGATCACCCTATGAGATTTTGTTCTCGGCAAAACCAACTTACTCTCATCTGCGAGTCTTTGGCTCTGTGTTATGCTTCCACCCTTCAAAGAAACAGATCTAAGTTTGATCCTCGAGCAGTCCCTTGTATTTTTATTGGCTATCCTTCTACTCAAAAGGGATACAAGCTATATAATTTGCATTCACATACTGTCTTTGTGTCCAGAGATGTTATATTCCACGAGAGCATCTTCCCATTTCATGACCCTACTCTCTTAGCATCTCTTGGCTATACTACTGATGCTTCTAAAAACTCTTCACATCTCCCTCTATTTCCTTCTTCTCACTTCCCAAATCCATCATCACCTACTTTTCCTTTAACACCAAATACACATCCACATTTACCATTAGCGCCCCCTCCTACTGTCTCACCTGATTCTTCTCCTGTATCATCTCCTAATCCTCCTGCTCCTCCTAATTTTCATCCAACTTCTCTCCGCTGGTCTACTAGACCTAGGAGACCCCCTAGTTATTCTCAACAATCCTCTACCTTGCCTATTTCTTCCCAAGAAGCTAGAAATCCATGTAACTTGTCCAACTACTTAGGCTATGGCCTTCTTTCTCCAGCTCACAGGGCCTATGTGATGTCATTATCTATCATTGCTGAGCCTCGAACTTTTCTGGAAGCACCCCAGTCTCCAGCGTGGTGTCAAGCCATAAATGATGAATTCCGGGCATTAGTTGCTAACAACACCTGGATTGTTACCACTTTACCAGCGAATAAAAAGCCTGTGGATTGCAAGTAGGTTTATAAGGTCAAACTGAGGCAGGATTGGACTGAAGAACGGAAGAAAGTTTGGCTTGTTGCAAAAGGATTCACTTAACAAGCAGACCTCGATTACTCCTGTTGCCAAATTAGCTTCAGTCAAGGTCCTTTTAGTGGTTGCCGCCAGCAAGAATTGGCACCTATACCAACTGGATATCAACAACGCTTTCCTCTGAGGTGATCTCGAGGAGGAATTATTTATGAAGATGCCTCCAGGGTCTGAGCACCACGGGGAGGATGGTACCATGCTGGTTTGTAAACTCAACAAATCAATATATGGCCTTAAACAAGCCTCAAGGCAATGGAACACTAAGCTGTCAGGGATTTGTTCAGTCTAAATCTGATTATTCTCTTTTCAATAAAAGGACTAGCTGCTCATTCACTGTGCTCCTTATCTATGTTGATGATATTATCATAGGAGGGAATGACCTGCCCAATATCAAACAGTTTAAGAAAATTCTTGATAGCCAATTCCGATTGAAAGACTTGGGACTTCTAAAATATTTCTTGGGGCTTGAGGTGGCTAGATCATCAAAAGGAATTGCTGTCTGCCAGCGTAAGTATGCTTTAGAAATCCTTGAAGATGCCGGGTACCTGGGGTCCAAACCTACTAAATGTCCTATGTTGCAGAACTTAAAGCTGACCAAGGATGGGGGGGTTTACTTGATGATCCAGGTATGTATAGAAGGTTGATTGGAAGGCTGTTATACTTGACCATCACAAGGCTGGATTTGTCATTCTCAGTGTAGGTCCTGAGTCAGTACCTTGAATCTCCAAGAAAACCCCATCTAGAAGCAGCACTACATGTGTTAAGATATGTCAAAGGAAAACCTGGGCAAGGGCTATTCTTTCCTGCAGAATCCAGTATAGAACTCAAAGGATTTTGTGATGCTGATTGGGCATCTTGTGCAGACTCCAGAAGATCGGTTACAGGTTTTTTGTATATTTCTTGGAAGTTCCTTGATATCCTGGCACTCAAAGATGCAGTATACCATCTCCAGGTTGTCAGTTGAAGCGGAGCACAGGGGCATGGCTGCAGCTGTTTGAGAAATAATTTGGCTCAGAAAGGTGTTAACAGATTTGGGACTGGATCATCCTAAGGCTGCCCTTTTATTTTGTGATAATCGAGTGGCAATACACATAGCAAGCATCCCCGTCTTCCACAAAAGGACAAAACACATAGAATTGGATTGTCATTTGGTGAGGGAAAAGGCCCAATCAGGTGACATAAAAACCATGCATCTATCCACAACAAATCAACTGGTAGACGGCTTTAGGAGGAACCAGGTTTAAAATGTTGTTAAGCAAGATGGGGGTCTTGGAACATTCACCAGCCATCTTGAGAGGGAGTCTTGCGGGTCATGCAGCATTGAGGGTATTTATGTACTTAGCCAAAAGTTAGTTAAAGTTTGTTAGTGTTAGTTGAAGGTGAACTGTAATCTATTCAGCTGGCAATTATTGCACATATAGAATTGTATATAAACGATTGTATGTGCTTGCAAAATCAGTGAGAAAAGTTTCATTCTTCATACGTGTTTTCTCTCTCTATCTGTAAACGAGTTCCCTCCAATTAGGCATAAAATTGACACAAACTTCTAGCAAAGGGCAAAATATGAGTGTTTTGCAGTTCTTGACTTCCATACCAAAGGTTGACTCATCTACCTATTATCTGTCAAACATTCTGAACATAGAAATATTTTCTGTTTTGCAGTTCTTGACTTCCATACCAAAGGTTTGCTCATCTCCCTATTATCTGTCAAACATTCTGAACATAGATATATTGTCCTAAATTTCGACCCCCATTTAATCATTCTCTCTCTCTCTCTCTCTCTCTCTCTCTCTCTCTCTCTCTCTCTCTCTCTCGCAGTGAATCCATATTTATTCTCATTTTTTAAATAAATAAAATTAAATTTAATCTTTTAAACAAAAAGAATTTGGATAGAAGGCAGAAGGACCTTTCCTTTACCCAAAATATTATAATAAAAGGCTTATATTTGACAAAAAAATAAAAAACACACAAACCCACTAATTCAAACGCGATAGTTTGCTTTATCAAGTAACATATTTCAAAAATTAAATAAATAAATCACTGAAGTTGATTCCAAAAAAAATAATAATAATAAAAATGAACCTGAGCCAGAGTCAAGCTTTTGGACTCATGGGACTTGACAATTTGATCATACTGCAGCTTAATTTTCCTCTGAATTGCACTCGAAGATTTTGTAAACGGGTACAAGCATAAAATATCTTCCTTATCCTTTTTCTCTACACAATTTGAATCGGGTCTCTTCTTCTTGACCCGTTTCTTCTTCCTTTTGTTCTCCTCCTGGTCCGACCCATTTTTATCATTTGGATCTTCATTTTTGTCAGATTTATAGGCATTTTCTTGTTTCTGTTGCTGGGTTCTTTTTTTCTCGTAATTTTCAGCATCATCTACCGGTAAAGATGGAATTTTTTTGGATTTTTCTTTTGAGATTTCATCAATTTTCTTCAAAATTGTGTAGAGGGAGAAAATGATGACAGAAAGAGTGAAAAAAAGGAGAAAACTCAAAAAAGAAAACATGAAAATGAGATATAGAGAAGCGGCCGCCATTGATCGATTGTTAGAAGACGATAAAGTGAGGAAAGAGTTGGGTCGCCGTCATGGGTTGTGAGAGAATGAGAAACATGAGACTAGATAGAATGATAGATTTGTTCAGCAGCAGATTTTTCAAGCAAAGTTATTTTTGTTTCTATTTCTATTTTAAAAATGTTAAAGAATATCTTTTTATAAAGGATGTTGCTATTTTGTTGTCTTCTGCTTCCATTTTGTTGTGACTCGTTATAATTTAAAACTTTCAAATTTGAAATTTTAATGGTTGAAATAATATTTTTTTAAGAATACGTGAATAAATAAAAGAAAAATTTAAAATTACGTGTAATATTATTTTATTAAAAATATGTCGTTAATAAAAAAAAGAAAAAAATAAATTATAATTTTAATAAGGTCAAACATAAATTATAATTTTAATAAGGCCAAACAAATGCTAAATAATGCCTTTGACAAAAATTTAAATTCTTCTTTTCTAAAATTCATTTTTGGTCTCACATTTTATGAAATTCACAACTTTTATTAATTTTTAATCATAATTTTATTAAAATTTAATAAATTTTTTATTTTTGAACTACACCCGAAAGTTTGACGAAAATTTAATTTTTTTTCTAAAATTTATTTTCATTCACACATTTTATGAAATTCACAAGTTTTACCAATTTTTAACAATAATTTATTAAAAATTTGATTTTATCATTTGATTTTATTTTTTTACTATACCCAAAGGGGGCATAAATATTGCATAGATAAAAAAAATAAAAAAAATAAAAATTAACGTATTTTATTAGATTTTATTTTCGATTCAACATTCCAAATACACATCATGACCAGTAAAATGGCACTTAAGAAGTTTCCAATGCAAGAAATTAGGGCGAAGTTGAATCACAAGTCAAAAAGCCGATTAATTGCAAGAGGTTTACAAAGAAAAAGCAATTAATTAATATAAATATTGCTTTACTTAACAGGAAAAATACTAACTCATATCCTTCAAGCAAAGGGCTTTCATATTGTATAGACTATGAGACAATTGCAATAGACTCTATTTGAATCGTCACAAATATTTGTCTTATGACTACAAAAGTGTAAACCAGTATAGTAACCATCTCTGCTTGTTTGGGTTTCTGAAAAATTATGGTACGTTAGAAATAAGTGATGAATAAATAAGTAGTAATAGTTGTTAAAATTTAAATTTGATTTGATCATTATAAAACAATTATAATGAAAAATAGCACATATTACTTTTTTGTATTTTTCTTTCACCCACATCACTATCTTTTCAATCAAATTTCGTCTTGACAAAATTTGTCAATTAGAACTAAGGCCATGTTTGAGTCACATTTTTTTTCTTCAAAAAATCACATTCTTAAACAGTGATTTGACATCATTTCAATCATACATTTTTCAATAAAATAATATTATATGCAAATCCAAAACTTTTCTTTTTTTGTTAACCACGCATTTTTCATCAATACACTAATCAAAAATACATTCTACTAAAAATAATGTGGCTCAAACAAAATCACTAATAAAACATTGAAAATAATTACAATTCAAGTCACCTCCTCCTCCCCATTCCCATCCTGTAAGGGGGTGACGGAGGAGGTGATTACAAGTTGCAAAGTTGGTGAATGAAAAATAATCAATAATTTGGCAAGAGTAAATTAATATTGTAACACTTTGAGAATGAGCAATTATTTTCACACTATATTTTTGTTGATTGCACCTATTTTTATTAAAAGTGATTACCCTTAACGTTCTCTCTCTCTCTCTCTCTCCCTCTCTTTTTTTTTTTTTT